AATTTGAGTGACGCCACATCAGCAAATGGAGGTCTTGAAAGCTTTACCTTATCCATATGAATAAGGCTGGGTTTACTCTGATGATGCAGCTCTTTCCCTGTCCTATTTTGAGAGCCTTCTAACCTAACCGGACTATTCATAAAGTTGCATGGTAATGTATCAGACAGTGTTTCTTTGCTATTCATAAGGGTTTCCCTGGCCAATTCTTTGAGAAGTGGATGGCCTCTTCCTTCTTCCTAGTCTGTCTCAATCTGTAAGGTGTGCTGATACCTGTGCACCATGTGCATCCCGCTGGGTTTGAAACACCAGTGGCTCAGCCTCAAAACTCGCATCAACACATCACCACAGTAGCACAAACTGACAGACAAGTTTGTCTCCCTGTTGGAAATCTAATCAGCTGGTGACTCCTATTGCAGCTGTTGTTCCTGATGTGGTTTAATTGCTTGAGTAAATTAGTACATCTCCTAGTACTTGGTATGCAGCTATTGATCTGCCCAATGCCTTTTTCTCAATACCAATTTCAAAGAACCATCGGAAGCAGTTTGCCTTCAGCTAGCAAGGCCAACAGTATACTTTCAGATTGCTTCCTCAAGGATATATCAACTCCCTGGAACTATGACATAATTTAGTCCATAGAGATCTTGATTGCTTTTCCCTCCACAAGACATCACACTGGTCCATTATATTGATGACATTATGGTGATTGGACTGAGTGAGGAAGAAGTATTAATGACTCTAGACTTATTTGTGAGATATATGCATGCTAGAGGTTGGGAAATTAACCCAACAAAATTTCAGGAAACATCCACCTCAGCAAAATTTCTAGAGGTCCAGTGGTGTGGGGCATATTGAGATATTTCTACTAAAGTGAAGGATAAGTTATTGTTTCTGGCTTCCCCCACATAAGAAAGGAGGCACAACATCTGTTGGGCCTCTTTGTATTTTGGAGGCAATATATCCCTCATTTGGGTGTGTTGCTTTGGCCTATTTATCAAGTGACTCAGAAAGCTGATAGTTTTGAGTGGGGCTCAGAACAACAGAAGGTTCTGCAACAGGTTCAGGCTGCCATGCAGGCTGCTCTGCCACTTAGGCCATATGATCTGGCTGATCCAATGGTGCTTGAAGTGTCTATAGTAGATAGAGATGTTGTTTGTAGTCTTTGGCAGGTCCCTATTGGTGAATCACAATGCAGACCCTTGGGCTTTGGAGCAAAGCCCTGCCACCCTCTGTGGATAACTTCTCTCCTTTTGAGAAACAGCTTTTAGCTTGTTATTGGACTTTAGTAGAGACTGAACGTTTAACCATGGGCCATCAAGTCACCATGAGGCCTGAGCTACCCATCATGAACTGGTGTTGTCTGACCCACAGAGTCATAAAGTTGGACGTGCACAGCAGCACTCCATCATTAAATGGAAGTGGAATATCAGAGATAGGGCTCAAGCAGGGCCTGAAGGCACAAGTAAGTTGCATGAGGAAGTGGCCCAAATGCCTATGGTCTCCACTCCAGTCACATTACCTTCTCTTTCTCAGTCTGTACCTATGGCCTTATGGGGAGTTCCTTATGATCAGTTGACTGAGGAAGAGAAAACTTGTGCCTGGTTTACAGATGGTTATGTGACATATGCAGGCACCACTCGCAAGTGGACAGCAGTGGTACTGCACCCCTCTCTGGGACTTCCTTGAAGGACAGTGGTAAAGGGAAATTCTCCCAATGGGCAGAACTTTGAGCTGTGCATAATGCTGTTCACTTTGCATGGAATAAGAAATGGTCAGATGTGCAATTATATATGGATTAATAGGATGTGGCTAATGGATTAGCTGGATGGTCTGGGACTTGTAAGGAACTTGATTGGAAAATTGGTGATAAGGATATATGAGGAAAAGGTATGTGGATAGATCTCTCTGAATGGGCCAAAGGACTAAAGGTATTTGTGTCTCATGTCAATGCTCACCAAAAGGTGACCTCGACAGAGGAGGACTTTAACAATCAGGTGGATAGGATGACATGTTCAGTGGAAACAAGCCATCCTTTTCCCCCAGCTAGTCCTGTCATTGCTCAATGGGCTCATGAACAAAGTGGCCATGATGGCAGGGATGGAGGTTATGCATGGGCTCAGCAACATGGACTCCCACTTACCAAGGCTGATTTGGCTACTGCCACTGCTGAGTTCCCAGTCTGCCAGCAGCAGAGACCAACTCTGAGTCCACAATATGGGACCATGGGACCATGGGGTGATCAGCTAGCAACATGGTGGCAGGTTGATTACATTGGACCACTTCCATCATGGAAAGGACAGTTTTTTGTTCTTACTGGAATAGATATTTATTCTGGATATGTGTTTGCCTTCCCTGAACGCAATACTTTTCTCAAAACTACCATCCCTGGACTTACAGAATGCCTTATCCACTGTCATGGTATTCCACACAGCATTGTTTCAGATCAAGGGACTCACTTCACAGCTAATGAAGTGTGGCAATGGGCCTATGCTCATGGAATTCACAGGTCTTACCATGTTTCCCATCATCCTGAAGCAGCTGGCTTAATAGAACAATGGAATGGCTTACTGAAAACACAATTATGGCGCCAGCTAGGTGGCAATACCTTGAAGGGTTGGACAATGCTCTCCAGGAGGCTGTATATGCTCTAAACCAGCGTACAATATATGGTTCTGTTTCTCCAATAGCCAGGATTAATGGGTCCAGGAACCAAGGGGTGGAAACGGGAGTAGAACCGCTATTACCCTAGTGACTCACTCAAAATTTTTTTTTCTTCCTATCCCTGCTACCCTATGCTCTGTGGGTCTGAAGATCTTAGTCCCAAAGGGAGAAACACCGCCACCTGGAGACACAATACTGATTGCATTGAACTGGAACTTAAGAATGCCACCTGGCCATTTTTGCTTCCTCATGCCTTTGGATCAACAGACAAAGAAGGTCATTACTATACTATCTAATGTGACAGATCCTGATTACCAAGGGGAAAATGGATTGAAATTACATAATGGAGGTAAAGAAGAATATGTCTGGAATACAGGAGATTCTTTAGGATGTCTCTTAGTACTCCCATGCCCTGTGATTAAAGTCAATGGAAAATTACAGAAACCCAATTCTGATATGACTGCTAATGGCCCAGATCCTTCAGGAATGAAGGTTTGGTTCACCCCACCAGGCAAAGAACCACAACCAGCTGAGGTGCTTGCTGAGGGCAAGGGAAATACAGAATGGGTAGTGGAAGAAGGTAGTTCTGAATATCAGCTACAACCATGTGACCAGCTGCAGAAACGAGGACTGTAATTGTTATATTTCTTCATTGTATATTTGCATCAGATGTTTTTGTTTCCTTCTGTTATGAACTGTGAAATGTAAATAAGGTTAAGGCATTTCGTTTGTACATGTGTTAGTGTATCATGTTAGGTGCAGATATTACTTTATGATTGTCCTTTTTAGAGATTATATATGGTTAAGAAGATGGGTACCACTGCCAAGTTGACAATGAGTGGACTGTGATAGTTGGAGCTGTGTGTCAAGTTGGCTGGACCACAATTCTTTGTGGTTTAGGCAGTTGTGATGTGCTTATTCCCATGATGGGATCAGATGTATATGTTTTGAGCAGCCAGTCCTTTAAAGGGAGTTTCCCTAGGGTTTGGCCTGCTTCCAGTATATTTATGGACATCCTGGGAAAAGAGACACTGTTCTTCTGTGGCTCTTGATTCTGTTGTGCTGCCTACAACTGTCCATGAGCGAACAATCCACCATTCGGCCTGGAGATCTTGGATTCGTCATTCGTTGGAGTCAACAGCAAGTATACTGCCTGCCAACCTTGAGCGCCTCAGGACTTGCAGCTGTGTGAGTCGGGAAAAGCCTCCAGCTTGAGCTTTGATCCAAAAACTTTGGACTTGCCAACTTCTATAAGCGTGTGAGCCATTTTCCTAAGATAAATTTCTCTTTCTCTCTCTATATAAGCTTTATTGGTTTTGTTTCTCTAGAGAACCCAGTCTTACACAGACACTTTATAAAAGGATCACATATATAAAATATATAGATTATTTTATACAAAGAAATCTGCATGAAGAATCAAGAAACCTGGCGTAATTATTGCTGACTGAGAAACAAAACATCTGTGTGGCCTCCTGATTTTAGATAAATCTTTACACTTCCCTTTGTCTATTTATAAAATGAATAAAGTAATTAAATGACTTCTAAAATGCCTTTTGTTGTAACGTGCAGATTGTAGACTATAATATGTCATTAATATATTTATTTTTGAAATTGAATCATGGAGCTATAGCAGAATACATCACTCTGATACTGTGAATACATAGGGTTAATCCTTTGTACTTACCTAGAACAGTGAGATAGGCCTTGGAGGTTTTGACAGGCATGGTAAATAAAGAACAGGTGTACTGTCCTTCATCAGAGAGAGACACATCACTGACGCTGATACTCAATTCATGCCAGGAAGCGCGAACCAATTCGATCCTATTATCCCTTAAAGCTGGAAAGAGAAAATATTGAAACCATGAATAACAGCATAATAAAAAGTTAGTACTCCATAAACTTGCATTTTTAACATAATAAACATTTTCTTTGCCCATATATCCATCTCATTTCCTGAAACAATTTAAAGAAAAGTTTAAATATTATGAAGTATTTTATCTGATTTTTCTTTAAAATCAAAGTATAATTAATACTCCTTAATATTCTCAGAAAGAATTTTTTACTTAACTGATTGCATCTAATGCAACATTTTGGATGATGCGGATGCTGACAGTGATAAAAGCAGCTTTCTCCCAGAGTCTTTCATGGAATACTAGTGCCAAGAAAAATTATAAACAAAATGGGTTCACTTCTATGGTGAAATAAGTTTGGGAAACTATTACTGTTGCAAGACTTCCAAGGGACCCATGGTGAGCATTAATATGTTATAAGCTCTCTGAGGTAGATATATTTGTGGAGTCGGATCTGACTCATAGCTACCTTACCTTGGGTTTCGAAGACGATATAACTACAGAAGTACGTCACCCAACCTTCCTTCCAAGGAGTGGCTGGTGGGTTTGAACTGCTAGCCTTCTGGTGGCATAGTGCTAGCCTTAAGCACTATGCCACCGAGCTCCTTATAGTTGACATTCACCAGGAAGGCATTTACAAGGTACTTGATGTTTAAATCTGCTCTGATTGCCATGCTGTATGTTAAATATTTTAAAATGTGTTTTCTGATTTAAACCACTTATTATATCACTGAACACTTGTTTTCACAGGAGATCTCATAGTAGCTTGCTGAATTATGCTTCTCAACTCATTTAGCGACAAACCATTATATATATATATATATATATATATAT